ACAAATGTTTCATATGTTTTGCAAGTGAGATAGGTTTAGCTTTGTGAGAATGGATCGTTTAGTCACTCAGTGGTCAGTTCTTTAACCCTGATTTTCTACTTTACTTGCCCAATTTTATCAAGATACATGGATTCTTCTAGGAGAATCTTCGTAGTTTATAATACAACTGTTTTGGTATCAAATCATACTATTTCTGATAGGTAATAAGATAAAAATGAGGGGAAGAAAGATGAATTAGACACAGGCTGGAGGGAAACAGGCACAAAATAATATAATAATGATATAATTGGGGGCCATTTACATTTACTAAGCACTTCTGCACATGTGATCTAACTTTATTTCCTCAATAACCTGTATTTGTCCTGTAAGTGAGGACAAAATAGAGGCATACATGCCTAAACAAATTTCCAAGACAATTTAATTACAAAGGAAAAATCCAAGTAGTAAAAATCAGCTTATAGGATTAACAACAGTGAATTATTCCCATTATGGCTCCCAATGGAATTGCCTCTAGGATAGAGAGGAAATATCAAAAAGGTTAACAGAGGTAGGGTTTGATTTATGGTATTACCAACACCCTTTATTTTCTTTTTTGATTTTTTATTTGTGTGTGTGTATTCTTTCCCCTTTTGGGTTAATATGTATTAGGAATAAAGTAAGCTATTAAAAGTGCACATAAGAAAGAGGTGGTAACAACTGGTTTGGGGCTTTGCAGCCTAAGTGTGTTGAAGAGGATGTTAACTCAGAGAAGTGAGCAGGAGAAGCCTAGAGCAGGTATTAGATTGGAATTGGAGGCTGCCTAAATGAACTCAGATATTCAATAGGTAAATAGATACAGACATGGATATGGACATAAGTATGTGTGTGTATACACATAAATCAGTAAATACTCATGTTATATACACATATATATTCCCCTGTGCTGTCCACTGAGATAACCTAGAACAATAACAACCAGAAAGCAACAAGCATGTCTAATGCCCAGACCTTGATTCTTGATTTCTGCATATCATTATCCAGTAAAAGCAACCAGAACACCTGGAAGAATGGCTCATTCCAGGACTGAGGAAGGGTAAGTATTATATCAACTTGGAACATGATGTTGTCCTAAAAAGTCAGGAAATGTCAACTTGCATGGGCATCAAATGGCCAAATCAGGAATATTCTGAGAATCAACACAAGTTAACAATGAGCAACAGATTATAACCCTTTGAATAAAAAGAGGAACCCATGAATCCATACTGATATAAATAAATGAGTGGATAAATAAATGGGGAGGATAACAAGCATTTGAATGCTGGTAAGTGTAGAAGGAATGAGAGAAATTTTAAAGTCATTATGTGGCAGCCACCTGTGATAAATAATTTGGCCAAGAAATGACAATGCAAAGTAATGAATGAAAAGTTAATGAGGACTGGTTTATTCATGGAATCCCTAAGTATTTTTAGCAACATAAAAAAAATAATTTAACAGGGGGTGATTTATTAGATACCACCTTAATCAAGCTATTAGAAATAATGACAGGAATCAAAATCATGTACCACCTGATAGGATGGAATGAGAAGAAGAACCACTTCATTGATACTCCTACCAAACCTGCGGAACTTCACAACCTGAATCTGTTAATGAGGAAACATGAGAGACATTTCCAAAATGGGTCTATAATCCTTAAAATGCCAAGGCCATGACACTTACGTAAAGACTGAGGAGTTATTCCAGACTTAAGGACTCTAAGTACACAGGGCAAATGCAATACTTGATGTTGAACTCTGATGGGTGAGAGAATTTGGGTTAGAAAAGCTTGGCATCTCTGCCTTCACACTGCATCTGCCTCCTTTGGTACCTTAACCATTGAGTCAGATTTATTGTTGAGTCATAAGTTAGGGAGTGTGTGTCTGGAATCAGTGTTGCAAAGTTAATTAGTCCCAACTTTACCTCATCTGTCTCTTCCCCTTTCAAGGCTAAAGACAACAAGATAAGAGTAACTAAGATATTTTTGAAATTTACAGACATCAGGATCACCAATCACCAACTCTTACAGGCCACCAGAGTGGAACCTAGAAGTCCCTAGTTGTCAGTCCTTCCCTTTCCTTGGCTGTTTTTCTTTCCCCCTCCCCTGGGGATTAAAGTTGCTTACAGCTAGGCTGGGTTGAGATGGTCTTGTCGGCATGGCCTCCATCTTCTTGACTGGCTTGCTTTCTTTCCAAATCTTTGTCCTTGTGTCAACAGCTCACCCTTGAGTGAGTGGCAACTACATGAACCTGGGTACAGTTACCCATACTCTGTGTTACCCTGGGGTATGGCTTTACCATGCATCTTTATTCACAGACAAAAATTCAAGAGGCAGAATGATAAGGAGAATAGATGTTTTCAGGTTTAAGGAACCTGATATTTTTGGCTGTTTTTTTTTTTTTCTGGTTTCATTTCTCCATCTTCTGGGTGCTCAGGGGTGAGGAAAGCTTTCATTATAGAGACGTTTATAAGAAAAGTGAAACACAAAGACAGTAAAATACAAAGGCAGAATTAGTGATCCAGAGAACCTATCAGTTTCAGCTCCTTGGAGGTGTTTCCTCAGTAGTTTTTATTCTCTGAGGAAATTCAGAAGCTAAAGGAATTTGGAGCTTTAATTTCAAAAGGAATTCTGTTTCAAATCCTGCAGAAAAGCAAGTTATCAGGATGTTGCCCTTCATTACAGAAAAAGTTTCACTTCACCTTCACCCCAGAACTGCCTGACACTGCTTCCCTCCTCCCAAAGCAAATGTGGTCCTAGACTCTGCATTCTGTTCTTTGGTGAACCCAGAGCATGGTCAGACTTAAAAAAGGTGCTGGGCATAAAGCCCAGGTCTGGTCAGCAGCGAGAGGCAAGTAGCCCCTGTTTGGAACCATGTCAGCTGAGAAGATAACTCCTCTTCTGTATTTGTCTTTCAGGAAAACGCGGATGCCTTGGAGAACAGTTGGCTAAGACTGAGCTATTTATTTTTTTCACTTCCTTTTTACAAAAATTTACCTTCAAGCCCCCAGACAATGAGAAGTTGAGCCTGGAGTTCAGAATGGGCCTCACTGTCTCCCCTGTCAGCCACCACATCTGTGCTATCCCTAGGGGATGATGCTGTTGGAGAAGGAAAAGGAAAGACAGGGGAAAAAAAAAA